ATAAAGACAATGCTAAAACCTTTTGAGTTTGACATAATATTTTATTTAAAAATGAAGCCAGGCCAACAAGCCCCCATTTGGGGCCAAACCCCCATTTCACTGCAACATCATAACACTCCTGCACCACCTGACCCCAAATCTGAGCCTATCATACACTGGAACCCCCGTCCTGAGCCTCTTACATCCCCACACTCCTGCATCCCCACATATGCACCCTCACATCCACAAGCCCTGGCTTGCTCAGCACCCCAACCTTCCACCTGAACCCAACACTCCCCAGCCTAGAGCCCCCTCCCTGAGTCAACAGCCCTTTCTCCTGCATCCAAATTCCCTCCCAGAGCTTGTACTTCTCACCCCTTCCCACACCCAAATCCCTCATTCCCACCCCACATCTTACTCACTAGGTCGAGACAAGTATAAGGGCTGGGTATAGCAAGTGATGGAGAGGAGGGGAACAGAGTGGATGAGGCCTCACAGAAAGGAGATGGGGGGGGGTCTTGGGTCATGAATTGGTGGGTCCCTCTCTCCTCCCACGCCCCCCCCCTTTTTTTGCTTGACAAACCTAGGGGTTCCTTGAAATTTTGAAAAGCTGAAAAGGGTTCCTCAGCCAAATAAAATTGGGAAACACTGCTCTAACCTAACAACCAGACAGAGGGAAGAGGTATCAGAGATGATCCTCCACCACCAGGATGTATTCTCAACACCTGAGTGACCTGGTTATCATAAACCCTGGGGCCAGAGTAACAATGAAGCCCTACTGGGTGCCAGCGGCAAACAGGGAAGAAATAAGAGTGGAAATAAAGAAGATGCTGGAGATGGGGATAATTCAAGAATCACACAGTCCAGCCCTATAGTGCTAGTGCCAAAACCAGATGGCACAGTAAGAGTACGTCTATGCCTCATCCCTGGGAGGTCGACAAATGCCTTTGATGTTGACCGTGGAGCGTCCAGACTACCGCGCTGAACCGACAAACAGCTGATCAGCTCAGCTGAAGCGGCGATTATTTAAATCGCCGTTTCATTTTCCTCTGCCAGGTAGTCTAATCTACATGCCTCAGTCGCCAGAGGCATGTAGTCTAGACGTACCCTAAGATTCTGCAATGACTTTTGTTGGCTAAATGAAATATATCAGTGTGACGCATATCCGATTTCCCCGCATAGATGAACTAGTAGACTGGTTGGGCAATGCCTCATATCTAACAATAACTTAACCAGATCCCATTATCTGAGGATGCGAAAGAGAAGACAGCGTTCTCCACTCCCGATGGTCTGTTCCAATACATGGTCCTTCCTTTTGGCCTACATGGGGCCCCTGCTACATTTCAGCGCCTCATAGACAGGCTGCTAGGTCCCCATGCTAGCTTTGCTGCCACCTATTTAGATGATGCAGTCACCCACATCCCAGACTGGGAAACGCACCTGGAAACGGTAGAGGCACTTCTTGATGCTTTTCAGTGAGCTGACCTGACAGCAAACCCCCAGCCAAGTGTGCTGTAGGATTCACAGAAGCCAAATACCGTTGTTATATAGTGGAGAAAGCCTGGAAGGACCCCGACTGAGTAAGTTGGAAACCATCCAAAGCTGGTCCCAACCAAGACCAAAAAACAGGTGTGGGTGTTCCCAGGAATTGTGGGGTACTCCCGGAGGTTTATTCCCTATTTTGCCACACAGGTCAGTCCCCTAACAGACTTAATAAAAGCCTGTGGACCCAATCTAGGGGTTATTTAGGGAAGTGGCCTGGGAAAAAAAGCTGCCAAGTTGGAAGGAAAAACAACCTTGATTGCTGCTGCTACTTTAGAGTCCCTGGGCTGTAATCTGGAGTAGTGGGCGGGCCCGGGTTCCCCACATACCTTCCCCCACTCCAACACAGACCTGCCCCAAGAAGGGAGACCAGGACTATCAAGGGGTTTTCACCCCAAAACCACAGACTAGCCTGTGATGAGTATAGCTTACTAAGCTGTGGACCTGGCCTCTTGTAAAGAGAAAGGGGTTGTGTATAGGACCAGAGTGAGTCTGAGGCTAGTATTATCTGCCAGTAGCGCAAGAACCACGGGGCAAGGCCAGAGCTTTGCCACAATACACATCCAGTATACATTTTTAACCATCATAAACAATCCTGTAAACAGCAGTGCTGCTTGTGAAGCTAGATTGAGGTGATAGCCAGAGGTGGAATATATCCCAGGGTATATCTGGTTCTAAATGATGAACTAACATGCTGCTGAGCCCTCAGGGGTTCATGTGTTGCTGTTAATATAGCCTCACCGTCTACAAGGCAGCATGGTCTGAGGCAGAGAGGAAATAGAATAAACGCAGCAGTGACTGCAAACATTTCCCTGCAGAATCTGAATATGAAGAACCCACACTATCCCGCTGGAGTGCCCTGCTCTCTCCTCCAGATGGTGCATACACGGTGCACGTGTGTGAATGAGAGAGAGAGACACTGTTTGTGTGTGTCAGAGAGGGGCAGACAGAGACGTGGATTGCCCCTTTCAAGTACGTTGGCCCCACTTCAAGAGCACTGCACTGGACCAAGAAATCGAAACACAAGACTCTGTAACTGTGATATCCTTTGTGGAGATTGGGTACAGAGTTGGGGGCTCAATGTGGAGTGGAGGACATCGTGACATCAGAACCCCTCTCCCCCATCTTCTTCTCCCCTCACCCCCAGAGCAAATGGGAGGCTCCTGGGAGCAGCTCCAAGTCGGAGAACAGGAGTAGCATGGCAGTAAAGGAGAGAGGCAGTTGAACTGCAGCAGCCTCGCTGCATCCCCTTCATGAAACTGAAGGGAGCTGGTGGGGGGCTGCCAATCTAGCATGTTGGCCAACCCACCCTTAAAAGGACAGACTGTTTCCAGAAAATCCTGCAAATAGTGGACAGAACAGGCATCCAAACAATGTTCTGAGGGAGTATTGCACAACTTTAAAATAGCCTATGATCTAATAGATAAACAATGTTACAAAACAAAACAACTTTAATTGAGGAGTTACTGTGTTCGTACCTGGATAGTACAATTAGAACCTCTGTTGCATTTCAGCAGCAGGATACACCACATAACTTTTCACCATATCTACGGGGGGAGGGATAGCTCAGTGGTTTGCGCATTGGCCTGCTAAACCCAGGGCTGTGAGTTCAATCCTTATGTAGGCCGTTAAGGGATTGGGGGCAAAAATTTGTCAGGGATGGTACTTGGTCCTGCTGTGCAGGCAGGGGACTGGACTCAATGACCTTTCAAGGTCCCTTCCAGTTCTAGGAGATAGGCAATCTCCATTATTTTAATTTTTTACTGTACGCTAGCACTGTCTAATTAGTGCCTGTTTTCTGGTTTTCATTCAGTATTGACATGTGGCAATTCTCAACTTACAGATACATTTGAAATTCCAAAGCTTTTTCACTGAAATTAAAAAATAATAATGAAAACATTTTTTATTTCCATAAACCCCCATTTAATTAACAAACCCTAAGTTTAAATCATAGCATGCCTGATAGTGTCTCTTTAAACTGCTCTGCTTCTACTTTATATAAAAAAAATCTGAATGCTGTTTTCTTCTCTCTTCTAGTTCTGTGCTTTCCCACACTGAAGCATCGATTCTAGACTTTCTGTTCAGGTGATTTAACTTTTTTCCAACTGTAAATTTAGAGAGAAAGCTGCAACTTTCCCTAAGCTTTCCTGTAGAGCTCCTCCTTGTAGAAACAATATAGTTGTAAAGATGGCAAAATCTTAGTCTTAGTGGTAGAATTAATGCTCACATATGATTCATAAAGGCTTACGAACAGACATGGTCCCATATAACACAATTATCTTTATTTTTTTCTTAGGGAATGTCTGTATTAAAGCCAGAAGGTCAGTTTAAGATTTGCAACTCCAGCTACATAAATCATGTAGCTGGAGCTAGCATACCTTAGGCTGAATTTTGGAGCCATCCCCTCAGCATGAGGTCGACAGGAGAAACTCTGCCCTTCACTTCCATTACTCCTCACAACTGCATGGAATACCGCAGTCAACAGGGATACTTTCAGTGTCCGATTTAGTGGGTCTTTACTAGACCCGTTAAATCGAACGACAAAAGATCAACCACTGCAGCATTGAGCTCCATGCAGTGAAGACAGGTCCTTTGTTTAGTCACTTATTAATGGAGAATAACAGAAAGGTAGCCGTGTTAGTCTCATCTTGGTAAAACAAAAAAAGCAGTTATGTAGCACTTTAAAGACTAGCAAGATAGTTTCATATTCTGAAAGTGAATTGGCATGACCATTATATAACAGAGGGATACAATGAAAGAAGTAAACAAATTACAAACTAACGAATCAGCTACATAGAACAGAAGGTGGGGGCGAGCAGATAAGGAAGGGTATGTCTACACTACCCCGCTAGTTCGAACTAGCGGGGTAGTGTAGACATACCCTTCCTTATCTGCTCGCCCCCACCTTCTGTTCTATGTAGCTGATTCGTTAGTTTGTAATTTGTTTACTTCTTTCATTGTATCCCTCTGTTATATAATGGTCATGCCAATTCACTTTCAGAATATGAAACTATCTTGCTAGTCTTTAAAGTGCTACATAACTGCTTTTTTTGTTTTACCAAGGAACTACCGTTACTCCTCATTCCACGAGGAGTAATGGTAGTTCGAACTAGGAAGCCTAGTTCGAACTACCTAGTTCGTGCCGCGTGTAGCCGTGCGGCACGGGGTTCGAACCAGCGGGGATTTAAAAATGGCAGTGCCCCGCTTATGCAAATGAAGCCCAGGAAATTCAAATCCCGGGCTTCATTTGCAATTGCGGTATGCCTACATTACCCTCCTATTTCGAAATAGGAGGGTAGTGTAGACATACCCGAAGAGACAAGGAAAGAGGAAAATCTTAACATAATTTTCCATAAACGTATAAAAAGTTTAAATATTTATACTGAGGAAAAGCAGCGAGGAGTCCTGTGGCACCTTATAGACTAACCGAAGTGTTGGAGCATAGTCTATAAGGTGCCACAGGACTCCTCACCGCTTTTGCAGATTCAGACTAACACGGCTACCCTTCTGATACTTAATTGTAAGAGTCAGTTAAGTGGCTGATCTGGAGTTACTACGAATATCAAAAGGTGGGGAGACTGTCTTTGTAATGTGTAAGGTAATTATCATCTATATTAAGGCCCATTCGCAATGTGTTTAATTTTAGCATAAATAAGTTCTGCTTTACCCGGTGGGTAATTGAGTTTTATGAATGCTTGGTAAAGATCTTGAAGCTTTTGGTCTCTGTCAGTGGGATTGGAGCAGATGCGGTTGTATCTAAGGGCTTGACTATAGACGATGGATCATATGGTGTGTCCTGGATAGGCGCTGGAGGCATGTAAGTAAGTGTAGCAGTCAGTGGGCTTCCTGTAGAGACCAGCTTACATGTGGTGGAGAATGTGGGCAAAGTCATTTCGCGTAAATAATATAGGACAAAGTTCAAGAAATTAAATTATAATTTTTTAGTTATGTGCTTGCAAAAGGGAAGTAAAAGAACAGTTTTAAATTTGTAGGATTTCTACTTCAAACATTATTCATTTTATTGAATAATTATCATACATAGGAAATTTAAATCAGAAATTCTTAATGCTTCCATTACTCTTTCCGTAACTAATTTGCAGGGCTCGACAAACCGCTGTTTCTCCTTGCCCAGGTTGAGTAGATTTCAGCCAGTCGTTCCGTTCTCCCCGTTCACTAGCGCTGCACGCATGCGCAGTGCCGGTCTGGCGCATGCCCAGTACAGGGCTGGCAAGTAGATCTCACCATGGTTTGTCGAGCCCTGCTAATTTGAATTAGTTTGTGATTTGTAACAGTAAAAAAATGTTTTGCACTAAAATGATAGTTGAATAGGCAACTTGATTTTAATTTTGTTAGCAAATATTTTTATGAACTCTCATCATAATAGTCATGACTTTTTTGCAAATGAAAAACAAAAGTAATTATTTAAACCTTTCACCTAGCATAGTCTGGTGTAAAAAGTAGCGCATTCAGCTAATATAAGTGCAGGATTGTCTATGCAAAATTTGGTATCTGCGGGTAATCCCGAAGTATGACTTTATTTTGCACAAATGAGTCCACAAACAAACTCTTCAAAATGTGCCATATATGATCACACAGCAGTTCATAGCAGTTACTTAAATGGAAAAATAATACCAAGGAAGTGCTTTTCTCAGCTTCATTTAGCATGGACACTCTAATTGACAATTTCTTTCCCCCTTTTTTTTTCCTTCTATCCCCCCCTCTGTCTCTCTCTCCTCTATTTATTTAAAAACTGGATCCCTTAAACTCCATTCATCTGAAGAAGTGGGTTGTGCCCATGAAAGCTCATGATACTATCTACATGTTTTGTTAGTCTCTAAGGTGCGGCAAGACTGGTCGTTGTTTTTTAAGTTTTACCAAGGAAGTACTTTATTTTTAAAAGTTCTGGAATGTCTGAACCCTGTCACCTTCCATCTTGTTTTGTTGAAGTGTTTAGCTGGTTCCTCCCATTTTAACCGTTTGTTCAGGAGTTTAGGCTCTTCTGTGCATCAAATCACTTGGAAATTGAAAGATCATGTGGTATGACAACACTCCACAACAACCAGAAAAGTTTCATTGCTTGGCAGAAAGCCACTGTGAGAATAAATGATGAGGAGTCTTGTGGTACCTTGAAGGCTGTCAGCTGTCAGCCCACTTGGTCAGATGCATGAAGTGGAATCTTCAATTTGGCAGCAATGTATATACATGCAAAGAAGGGATTGTTCTGTTACCATGTGGAAGACCAGTTCTAAGGAGGTCAGTTCAATCAGGGTGGAATGTTACCCACTCCCAACAGTTGATATCCTTTTGGTATTCTCACCTTCTTATTAACTGTTTAGTGTGGGCCACATCCACCCTGATTTGAATTGGCCTCATTAGCACTGGTCCTCCAGATAGTAATGTACTATTAGCATGTACATAGATGCTGCAGCCCATGAAAGCTTATGCCCAAATAAATTTTAGTCTTTAAGGTGCCACAGGATTCCTTGTAGTTTTTGCTAAAAACAGACTTAACACAGCTACTTCTCTGAAGCGACGAAAATATTGCTCCAGGATAGATAATTGGATCTTAAGTCCCTTTCCATGGAGTTTGCCTATATGTCACATGAAGATAGAAGGAAGCTTATGAGTACATGAACAACATATTTGCTAACAGTTGTCTTCATTCTCAGAGCTCTTCAGTTGCTTATGTTTAACCTGGTATTGTATAGTATAAATCTAATTTACCAAGCAGTCCACCTAGTATCTGCTTTTCTTATTTTTCTGACATTTGAGTTGAAATGGTTTTGCTAATTCATAATTATCTTGCGATTTCTAAGGGAAGTTTCAGTTGATTTCTTCTTTAATTATTCTGAAGAGAGCAGAATAAAAATTATTAGCTGTTTTCCACCACTATACCTAGTCCTCAGATCTCTTCACTGACAGCTTGTCCCCCACCACATTAAACACAAATTGTGGTCCTTGCCTTGAAGGTGTTTTCTCAATTCCATTCCCCTTACTTATCTCATTTCCCCTTCTGTTTGTTCTGCCAATGGTGGCAGTTGCTTTTTTTTGCTCAGTTTTCTGACAAGCACCTTCATGCCTTTTTCCATGCTGCCCTATATGCATGTTGGAACATCTTTACTGCTCAATTTACACAGTCACTACTCTGTCCTCCTTCAGATCCTTTAGGTGTTGCCTCTATTCTTGTATCAATGGTAAACTGCTTAGTGTTTATGTAGTGGTATAAAATCGGTGGGTTAGTATCTTTTATTGTACCAACTTCTGTTAGGGAGGCAAGCTTTCAAACACACAGTTGATTCAAAAAAAGATAATACTGCACCTCTCTAATATCCTGGGACTGACATGGTGATAACAACACTACATCAATAATGACTATCCAGGCAGCCTGTTAGTAATGCATTAATAGCTCTTCTTAAAAAAGTCTACAATCCACAAATTGTACACTTAGTTAAGACTATATGGAACCTTAACTTACTGTTGCTAATATCCTTATTTTTCCCTTCCTGCTTCCATAACAAATAACACCTCTGTTGCATCTTGTTCCTATATAATCTGTAAATTTTTTGGAGGCAGGAGCTGTCTGCTAGAGTATGTATGTATAACACTCAATACTATAGGCTCCAGTCCTGAAGTGGAGCCTGTATCTGATTCACATAATAATAATTTATCAAAGCATAGACAGAGTAGGGTATACAGAGCCAGGTCAGGGTCTGCGTCACTGCCTCTTGATGTGCTTCTTTGCTCAATTTTCCCTAGATCATTGGCAACTTACTCTATTATCGCTACATGAACCCAGCCATTGTTGCTCCAGATGCATTTGACATCATTGACCTTTCCGCGGGAGGGCAGCTGACTACTGACCAGCGCAGAAACCTCGGTTCCATTGCAAAGATGTTACAGCATGCGGCATCCAACAAGATGTTTATGGGGGACAATGCTCACCTAAGCATCATTAATGAATATCTCTCTCAGTCCTATCAGAAATTCAGGTAGGAGATCCCAGGTAATAGGATGGAGGTACAGAAAAAGGTCCTATTGAAAAGAAATAAGGGTAATCATTGTGCTGCCTGCTTCATTTGGAGTGGTTCAGTCTCTTAAATGTACTGTCTGTTGAAGACATCAAGGATTACATCTGAAGCTTTGGATAAAAGCAACTTGTTGTAGGTGACAAGAAATGCTAGCAACTCTTCCCTTAACTTGCTATTTCCTTTCTTTTAAGTGAGTGGGTCAGAAGATTGTGCCCTCAATCAAACTTGGCTGTCAGTGCACAAACACTAACTCTAAGCTTTTATTTGTTTTATAAATTATATACAGTACATTAGGGTATTGGTATGTTATTAAAGCTGCAAAGTCAAGCACTCTAAAATTAGGAAATACCACAAATAACATTGCTCTTGCATGTATGTATTGTGCTACAATCTTGTATTCCATGATCAAACACAATTTTTTTGTATTACCCCTTCAAACCACACTGCCTCATTATGTGAAGAAGTAATGAGGACAGAGTTGGCAGCCAGGAGAACCTGATTTGTAATCCTGCCTGTACCAGTGATGCGCTTTATGGCCTTAAGGAAGTCATTTTGCTGTCCTATTCAATTTCCTTGTCTATAAAATGGGGATAATAATGCTCTCCTATCTTGCAAGAGAATTGTTAAAATAAAATCACTAATATTTGTGAAGTAGTCTATTATGGAAATGAGCACCAGAAAACCCCTGAAGAAACTGAATAATTGTTATATTCATTGCAGGGTTTGGACAGCATAAATAAGCCATACACTGAATAATCAGTGAGAATAAAAAAATGTTTGAGTTGCCTCATTCACTCGGTGCTGTCCATTCTGTGTCATGAATACAGGAATTAGCTCAATGCAGCAGTTCTCAAACTTTGGCTTTGGCCACACACCTAGGGCAGCGGGGCTTGGGCAGGCTCAGCCTTCAGTTCTCCCTCCTGACATCATGTAGTAATTTTTATTGTCCGAAGTGGGTCTCAGTGCAAGGAAGTTTGAGACCCTCCTTGGAAAAATAGTGTGTGTTCATGGAATTAAAGACTGCATCACAACACAAAAGGAAGCTGAATTAAGACAGTTTAATTTTAGCATTTTCCAACTTTGAATTTGCACCCTTAGTAATGTTTTCATGTATGTAATATCCTAGGAAAAGGGAAAACACAGATTCCATTTTCTTTACCTCTGAAGGCCCCTCCCCATTAAGTGTTATCAGCCTGTACTCCTTAACCTGAAGCATGGCATCACAGATGACTGCCAGAACAGTCCATTATCCTGTGTGAACCAGCCATGAGAAGCAGATGCGTAATTTCTATTCATGAGTAGCCCCATTTTATAGGCTGCATAGCCAAGGACAAATATATGGAAGCACTGTGTCTAAATTAATGGGATTTGGGGTGGACATCATAGATATTTCGGTTCTGTTGTCAGTTTCAGTAATCTGTGTATTTGAGGCCTTGCTTAATAACAAGTGTTATGAAGAATACAGAATTAATGTCAGTCAGAAGAGGTCAGTCTAGAACTTTTGATCTCCTGGCTCCTAGTATTCTACATCTTACTGTAGACAAAAAGGTATTTTGATGGGATGCAGTAAGGGAGAGAAAGAATGAAGAAAAGGAAAATAGTGACTGTGTATTTTTCTTCACTGTCCCACCAGAGGTTCCATTCTGTGTGTGGACTTTAGAAGTGAGGTACTGAGGCACTGTGTATGTGCACAGTACTAATGGAATCTTCAGAGGTTTTAGCACAAGCCGAAATCAATCTGTACTGTGAAATACAGATGAGCAATGGTGATCTTCAACAGTTGATAACTGCCAAATCTGAACAAATGTATGGGGTCAATAAAGGGCACCTCCCTGGCCACAGAACTGGCCCCTGTCAAATTTCAGTGTTGCTACAAACTATGATGGTGGTAGAGTTCTTCAAGAAAGAGTTTTCATTTTTCATAATGAAACATGCTAGACAAATGAAATATAGGGTGTCACATTTGCCTTCCTAGTAATAGTAGTAGTAAATGTCTGCTACAACCAGACTGCCTCTGCTTTCTTCAATGTCATGGACTTGGAATCTCTCTCTTTGTTGGATGTTATAAACAAGGCTACTAGAGATGCACTAGAGTTCTTCAAGAAAGAGTTTTCATTTTTCATAATGAAACATGCTAGACAAATGAAATATAGGGTGTCACATTTGCCTTCCTAGTAATAGTAGTAGTAAATGTCTGCTACAACCAGACTGCCTCTGCTTTCTTCAATGTCATGGACTTGGAATCTCTCTCTTTGTTGGATGTTATAAACAAGGCTACTAGAGATGCAC